GGGGGGGGGGGGGGGGCTGTAACGGACAATTGACCTTTTGGCTACGTCGCGTTTGGCTGGTAGTAGGAATGGTGTTTTCGGGCACGTTGCAAGCACCTTTGGAGGAATATCGGCGGTGTTCGGTAAAAGTCTTGTCGAACATCAGCCTGTTTCATGAAGGTTCATTCGGATGCAATTGTGAAACGTTCAGATGGCCCTTGCCATTCCCAAACAGGGCGATACTGCCGTCTTGTTTGGCGTTCCTTCTTGCCATACACCTGCCAGAGCTTTAGCCCCGGAAGGCCAGCGGCACCACCACGAGCACAGCAATAACTACAACAACAACAACAACAACCACCTAACAAGCAAAACAACAACAGCCGAGCAGGCTCACCAGCAACCGCTTCTGCTCGGAGAGCTCCGCGACCTTCGCGACCGCCGCGCGCCTCTCCCCCGCCATGATGCCCAGGTTCACCTGACCCTGCTCCACGTCCACCATGATCGCCTATTGAACAGCATCGTTCGGCGATCACGGCCGAGCAATACAGGTGAGGGGGGATACATTATAGGTGAGGTCGACGACGAGAAGGAGGATGACGGGAGCTTGTATAAAGCTGATTCTAGGTAAACACCACCACAGCGGGAGCCTTGAACCCCAACAACAATAAGCACCAACGACATTGAACGACAACAACAGCGCGTGATACTACGTATTCCCGACAACACCCAAACAAGAGGCCACAGCCAACCAAAGAGCATCACGTGATGGCTGCAGCAGCAAAGCACACCTCGAGGCGGTCCTTGCATGCCTCTAGCGATGCCTCTGCGGTCGCACGGAGCCCCCTCTCGCGAGTCGCTTCCTCCTCCGCACGCTCCACCCGAGCCTCGGCATTCGTGGCTCTGCCATCCATGACAGACAGCACGACAGCGCAGTCGCGCGCACATGGACAAGCGGTAAAGCGCATACGCACGACGGGGACGGCGTCGACAAATCATTCCAAGATGAGGTCGACGACAAGGAAGCGAGGCACCGGGAAGGCCATACACACCAGCTATGGTTACCCTTCGCGGCACACCACGATTGAAAAAAAGTGGCACGATAACATGGCAGCCAATACACACGAGAAACGCCTTGAATTACGGGAGCAGAAGCGACACGATGATGACCGAGCAAAATGCCCTTTATCATCCAAACGCATGTACATGAAAAAAACGACGAGCTCGTCCCTACAAAACACGTGGCGCTACATTGAAAATCGAAGGTAAAGTACCGCTGGAGGGGTGTGTAGGGGGAAACCTTAAGACCATGGGTTGGAGAAAACGGTACAAGTGCTGTGTGCGCTGATCCAAAGTGAAGGCAAACACGAAAACAACTAAATGAGTATATCAAAAAAACACATGCCAAGACCAAGGCCACCGCGTGCACCCGTCTGGACGATAGTTGGGTATGTTTTGTTTTCGGTTTGGGTATTCGTTCGTGTTGGGTATTGGGGAAGCATATTACTCAACCACCCCAAATAATCTATATTAGAATCGTGTACATATGAGGCCCCATGCTTTTCATGTGACAAATGATACGAGCTGCGTAACAACACCAGGAAGACACGTTGGTCGCCCGCCGCCGCACCTTGCCGACGCCTCCCCTGCCTCCGCACGCAGCTGTTCCGCGACGCCCCGGCTCTCCCCCTCCTCCCTCCTGGCGGCCGCGAGAGCGTTAAGCGCGGCGGCGAGCTCCACCTCCAGCCGAGCCTGCCGGCACCGCCGATCGGACGCCACGGCCCTCACCCTGGCCAGCAGGGCCGGCAGAGGGAGAGACTCCGCGTCTTCCGGCGGCAACTCTTCGTCCCGGAATAGCGCTCGCGCCTGTGCGGTGAAGGTTCGGGTTGGTTAAAACAAGTCGCGGCCATGTTCCCTCCTGACACTTGGGGCCGCTAAACCTCGCTCGCCACCGCCAAAGTAGCTCTCTCCCACTCTCTCCTATTAGGTAACTTCTCCCCTCCGAACTGGTTCTTGAACGTCTCAAACAGCAGCAGCATATACACAAAAAGGGTGCTTGGGTACTTTTTTCGATCGTGGTTTCCCGCGCGTGCTGAACAACCTTCCATGTCCACTGCCGCACATGTAGTGCACGTAGCACTCTCATCTGCCAAGACTTGGAAAAAAAAAAAAAAAACAAGAGAGGGCTAAAAAAAACATCGCGACGATAATCTTTTGACCAGAAGAAAAGGTACGAAAACACATCTACGGCTATCTTACACCAGCTCGAGGCCAGTCCGATCTGCCAAGAAGACTTGAGCAAAGCCAGACAGAAAAAGAAAAAAGAAACAAAAGGCGACAAAAACATGGCGACGAAACTCTCTTGACAAAAACAAAACGTACACCTGCTCCAGTCCATCCCTGGCGGCCGCTCTCGCGGCCGCGTGCTCCGCCTGGAGGCCCTGCAGCACCCGACACCGCTCCTTCTCCGCCTCCGTCTTGGCGGACGTGGTGTCCTGCATCTGGGACATGTACTCTTCCTGCGAGGGGAACAAAAACAACGGGAGGGAGCGGTGAGGAGCAAACAAAACCGATACCATAAACCAGCCGGAGGGGGGTACTCTCATGCAGGTGCATACCAGCATGCCTAGCCGGTAGATGATGACCGGCTGGGGGGGGGGGCGGGGGGATGAACGGGGGGGG